TTGTAAACTAATTCTAAATCCACACTGATAGTGGTTTAAGGGGACTTTTACTACATCCTCGCTCCTCGACCGGATTATGACGGAAAACCTGGTCCTTCTCGGTATTTAGTACTCTGCACTGACCCATTCCGCGGCACTACACGGCGCAGACCCAATCCGTACCACAGAGGTGGGTACTCTACTTAGTAGGTCAGCAAGCGAATATATGGAACATTCGATAGTAACAATGTTTTGTCAACACTCAACACCGGCCCGAATTGACTCAGCGCATATCTTCCATTGTCGACTCACTTGGCCCAAGCTTCAAACGGGAATTTAATGACCACTTCTTCTCATCAATCTTTCCTGAACCACTACAGCGACTATGAGAGCCATACCATATGTTCATACATTGTAACATACATACTTGTCATTTTTGAATTAAATAATATTATCCCTATCAGATATTTATCTTGTAGAGTCTTCGTATATTTGTAGTGCGCTCATTAATAAATATTGTGCAGTCAACCAATTTTGGAAAGGAAAGGAAACCACTCCACAAGTGGCGTTTATTGCACAGTTTAATATACGAGAAGTTGACTCTCAATAACTGTCCTTTTCATCATATATCCTCTGGTATTTATGCCATTTCTTATTACAATCATCTTCAATGATCATAATCTGCTTTCATAATACATCTTTTGCAGTATGTATGCTAAGTATTACAGTATGTAAGCTAAGTAAACTATTATAAGTGTGTAACAACACATACACTTTATATGTGCCTCACAGCCACACTTGTATTGCTTACATCATCTTATGAATTCAAATATGAGTATGTGCAATCCTTGTACATATTTGCACCAATAACTACGCACATAAAATATGATACTTATATCATATTTCATAACCCTAATACTTGGGTTACTAGCATAATTTAGCACATCCCCAACTCTTATGCCGCATATTATCAGAGTCTCAGACAGCTTACCTTTCTGGAACTAAACCTACTCCAGAAAACCCACCGAAAACCCACCGAGTTCTATGTGCGCAATACATATTCAATTTTTACCAAAATTCCATTTACCACCGCACTCACCCCCATCATGTAAAAACGCTAAAAAGCTTCGGGGGAAAATAAAAATTATCAAAAAGTGCTAGCTCCGTTCTCAAACTCAAACCTCTCTAAACTCATCACAGTTCATTTTAAGGCATATATTTTTTCGAGACATTCTAAGCCACTATTGACCAAAAAATGGACACATAAAACTTTGATATAATGTCGATTTTGTATTGAGAATTATGTCAACCAGCGCAGCCTATACGGTATAGTCAGTCAAAATACCTGGAAACTACAATACCAGCGAAGCCTACAAACAACCAGGTGCACTAGACTGGTGCATTTAGCATGCTGACACATAAATAGCAGCAAGTCCCACAAAACAATCACAAGGTGCACATACTGAAATATTTTCAAAATATGGCCGCGATTTCAGCATGCGGGCAGCGGAAAGTCTGTGAGATGGTAGGTTTCATCATCTAGAGACGAAATTCTGAATTTCGTATATTTGCTTAAAGTATTTACGATCATTCGCGAGTCTACCATCTTTTGACGCTCTATTGGATCTGTGAATTTTCGGTCGTGGTACTCTATGAAAGCGAAATCCACTACGTCCAGGGTGCCGGAAAATACTAGGTCGATAATTACGTCTTTTTCACTTCCTTCAATGTCCAGCTTCATAAGGACTTTAGGCGGGTCCTGAAGCATTTCATTTACCGTTGCTCCTGTAATCCTGGTGTTGACGACTTCCTTGATATACCTTGCTAGACGTATAGTTTGCACTGCTCCTTTGTTTGTTATTGAACTTGTTCTGTTAGCAATGATGCCACCGCCCGACTCGAAGAGAGCCGCTTTATTGTCAGAGAAGTAATCTGCAGTACCGTCAAAATCAGCTACGCCAGCAGGCACTTTAAATATAGCACGGTGTCCACAACGATTATATGCATTCTCCATATCTTTCAAATATTGCGTATGGTTATTATTAGGCTCGAATCCTACGCTGCAAACCGGTTTGCGGCTGTGAACATCACCAAACTCATTATGGAAAATCTTATTAATCGCGGCCTTAGGGTAAAGATCGGGCTGATACAATTTGCGAACCTGGACCCCACGGTTAGAACCACAGTCTAGATAAATGTGATAGCACCCATCAAGTTCATTTGACGCACTATGACGCGATGAGTTTGCAACATACCCCTTGCCAAGGCCGCCCAGTGAAGAGCGATAAAGAATAATGCCAAATACTAACCCAAATACAACGTAGATGGGATAGAAAAACCTGCTCTTTTTGTCCAGCATCATGTACTATCTTTTCGTAATGCTCGATTCTTGTTCAAGACCACAAAGATTAGTCTGATTGATTCTCGTTTAAGGCCGTAAAAGACGTATCCACATCAAATCTGACGGTTAACAAACAGTTGAAATACTTTTTTACGTATAAATCCTTTTGTCCGCCTGTGTAAAAAAATCTTCATTCGAAATGTGAAAGCTTTTTTTAATGTTTTTATTTTTACATTGTAGGAGTTTCGGGACTCCCAATGAATTTTCGAGACTCTTTGGTAGCCTGAATTTTGGCAGGTCCCGAATGATGAGTCATGATTCCAGAAATTCATGTTGGGTTTTTATTTCAGGGCCCAAGCCAGGATTAATCGTATATAACCAGGCCCTGATGATTTTTGAGTGTCATTCTCATGGGTCATACTTAAAATTGTCTATGTATATTCACGAACAGAGCAAAAGTGTCTACGAATATAAGTTCGAGAACTTTGTAGCAGAGGGTTTTCTAGGCTCGTGCCTTTCCCTCTCACTATGAGTGTTATAATTATAGTTAATAGCCTAGGATATTAGTAGTACAAGTTCGCTCGGGAATATATAGAGATAGGTCCCGGTGGACTATAAAAGCAGTCCACGTCCAGCGTTAGATTTCAGACTTTCACTAATAACATAAGGAAAACAAGGACGAAGAGGACTAAAGAGTGCTTATATCGTAAACCTAAGAATAAAGCTACTACTACCAAATTTTGGGAATTTATGATTTTTTGGCGCCAAAACTGTGATAATCATTTTTTGGGCCGACTTTTTGGATTTGGAGAATAAGGACCGAATTTTGGGAAATTCGAGGGACCTTATAAGTGTGAACAAAAACCAATATAGTTCTATTTTTAGAAAAAGTGGCGTTTAGCTGAAATTTGAGCGCCACTTAAACGCCACTTTTATTACCGGCAAATTTAAAATGACTTTTCTCTCATACCCGCACTTCCAGACTCGTTTTTAAAAAGACATGATGGCTTCTTTCCTCTACTAGAGACTGGTTCAGCAGAGCCCATATGTCCTATCCAGGCAGGGTCTTCGTCCTCAGTCCAAGCGTGTGGCCGACATCCAAGACGTCCCACAGATATCCAGGTCCTAGACCTTAATCTAGGGTCTGGACATAGCCTTCTAAATTATACATCTGGACGATTAGTACTGATGACGTCACACCCAGGTGCACTATACCGCTGTACTACAACCCCCTCCAGTCTTCGGCTTCGAAGAGTCGGAGGCTTAGGCCGAGTCTTATTTTTATATAAAACGGGTTCTGTAGTAGACTGTACAAAAGGTTTACTATAAGGAACTAAGGTAGATGTCTGACCTTGACTACTAGTGTACAAAAGGACCCTCAGGATGGGTCCTGTCCCCTTAATGACCAAGTTGGTGCTATCTAGATTCGGGACTCGGGGTAGTCTAACCGCAGGAATATCCTAACCGCAAAGTGATGAGTCATCACAATAAAGTTCTAGACCAAGTTTCCAGGGCAAGATCACTGGTAAAGACATAGAGAGTCCTAATCCTAAAGCTACAGGACAGTCCCAATGGTCTAAAAGGACAGGACTGGACTGTCACTCATATTGTCCATAAGTGTCGGTATTACAGCTCGGATTTTCATGAATTTTCGTGATTTTTTAAGTATGTCGGAAGGGAGCGCTAGCGAGCTATTTGATTACTTTGAAAGAGGCAAAGGGTAAAAAACGAGGGCCTTTTGCAGGGCGTAGCTCTTACCACTTTTCTGAGTCAAATGTTTGCGACATCTTCGCTACACATATTAAAATAAAAAAATATGCAAGTATCATATTGTTATTAGATTTTCCGATCTCATTTATCCATTCGCTATGCCTATATATCATAGATCATGACGAACCTAACGAGCTCAATTACAACCTTGAACTCAAAATTGATGGCATCAACAGCGCATCAATACTCTGCCTTTGTCAACACAGGACTCTGAATGATAGCACGTTGAGCAAAAAAAAGATCAGTTGCAAAAGTGTTTATATTACATGAGCAAATAATATATGTACATACATCTATATATATATATATATATATATAT